GCTCATCTTTCTCTTGACTAGGGGTGACCGCGAATTGTCGACGATTTGATGCTTCGATAGGAGGAGCCTGATCCGACTCCCAAGCTCACAGTCGAATATTCGCGGGGTGTTATGATAATGCCATTTTGGCTATATGGGGTTGCTCAAATGTCTGATTTCACATAGAACTACCGGTTTTCTCCCAATAAATTAATATACAGCCTATTATGATAATGCTGTAAATAAGAATCAGAAAAGAAATTAGCTTTAAATAAATATTTTAACGTGCGTGAATAAATCCAACCACCCCTATAGATTCAAGTTTCACTTTCCATAATCTGTGACCGACAGAGTAGCATCTCGGCGGCAGCGATTTAAAACTTTAACAAGACTCAAATTGACACAGGCAGAGTGAATGACTCGATTTTTTTTATCAGGTAGGGTACAAGTGATTTCAAAACATTTCAACCAGTTTATATCGTGTATATTTATATTATTTATCTCATATAAGATGCATTTGGTTGAGTTACGCTGCAGTAAAGCACTTCATTGTAGTAAGTTACAACGGTGATTATCTCTTCAGCGCGCAGCACGAGCAGGACAAACAACAATGCAGAATATTAATAACTATGACTGGGACGTAATATTAACGTTATGTTGTATAAATTACTAAGCGTATACTATATGAGAAAAATCCCATTGATTAAACCCTGCTATCACATGCTTCATTCTACTGGTCATCTTCAGCGTGCGCAGTTCAAAACAGAAATGCAGAACATTAATAACTACTGTCATATACATAACGTTATAATGAGAGCACTATTGTAAAAATTTTTGTGAATTCTTAGGGTTTAATGTTAACTATCTTATAATCAAAACATTAAACATTATTTACCCCGTTTGTATCTGCAAGGCGTCCGTTACACATTTTCCCTATTTTATGAATCCTTTCTTTACTCTTGCGAGTTCTGTTGTTTATAAATAAAATAATCTGTCCAACTTCCTCTATATTGTCTGCCATGGCCGTAGGCGTTGTTGACGTGTAAATGTGGGAAGTTGTATGCTAATGCAATAATCGTTTTGACTTCATAATGTTGTAGAAGTTCAGAAACAATTTTTGCACATTTTTCTTCAATAAATGCTCTTTTTGTACTAGGAAGAAAGTTTTGAGTTCTCAGCATTACAGTATGCTTTCACAGTACAATGAACTCTTTATCTCAAAAGATGAGGAAAAATGTGATTCCTCATAATATGACTCATCTAAATCAGAGCCAGAACGAATAATAAGTCCAATGGCTATACTCAAACCAGAGACATTTTCAAAATATCTCTATCACAGTCACTGCTTCAGAAGGAGAATTACGGTCTAAATTAGAAATGAGAGAAAAAGACAAACATGTTATCAAACTCTGTTTGAAAAATAAGCTCTGAACTAAAACGAAAAAGCACGCCACAGGAAGTCATATGACAAACTGATCTTCAGATTCAAAGGGTTTGTTATTGTGAATCAAAGATGTCCGCAGAACCACAACTAAGAGATACCTTAGAGGTGAGGGTGGTGCACGTCTCCCATGATGCCTCAAGAATGAATAATACTGCCCGACACAGCTGCAAACACGCATTGCTCTAAACATCTAGAGCTATATTTCACATTATTTACAGAAATGCAAAATGCCAATAATAATGTAGCATGATGAATGGCTAACAAGATATTTTAATTCACAGCAATATCCAACGGTTTGGCATCAGGAGCCTATAGAAATCAATCTGAAATAATTAAAAATGCAAACGGGACCTAGAACACAAACATGTTGTGTTTAAGGTTGCTTGGTTAAATCTCATGAGGGAGAAACTGGCTGCGATTTCAATTCAGCAACTAAAAGGTTTCTAAAACTGCAGGTTTCTTGATTAGAGAGGGAGACCAATTTGTACATGGCATGTTAATTAACCACCCAAAATGACTTCCAGTCCGAAACGGCAACAACAATCAGCAGTGTATGGAGAGGATTAGGGGTTTATACACAACGCACGTTTTTGCATTTCAAAGACAGGTAGGTGAAGTGCAATTGTATGAAAAACAATGTCCAGGGAAAATATTTTTACAAATTTTACTTGGTGTAATCATCTTAAAATACTATGCACATGTCATTCAAAATAGCAAAATGCAATGCAATAGTCACAGATTTGACTACTTGAATCTACAATCAAAAAAAAAAAATCTCTCTCTTTTTTTTTTTTTTTTTTTTAAAGAATTTTCTTTCAA